TTGGCTACTCCACTGGGTTCAGAAGTCCCAGCTACTCTGAAGCTTGGCCAGGTTCAAATCCAGCCAGGTCACTTAGTAGCAGCGTCACCCCTGCTGAGTCACCCAGCTTCTTAAAATGATGAGACCAAGACTCACTTGCAAGATAGCCACAGGCTGTGAGGGAGTCCGGGGGAAAGCACAAGATTGCATTTGTGAAGTACAGAGAAAGCACTCGGGAAAGTTAGTTTCCTTTCTTGGGATCACAGATTACTTCGATGAGATTAATATGCTAATTGGTGAGGTTGTCTGTTGGCTCTAGGGACAGCTCTAGAGTCCCTCCCTCAGCTCCCTCAGCTCCTTCCAGAGGTCCTGGAGGACAGAGGGTCCTAGCCGATGATTAGCCAGGGCTTCCTGAAAAGAAGGAGGTGGGAAAGGGGACACTGAGGTCAAGATGCAATGGGCACACGTTCTACATGAAGGGAAGATGGTGGCAATTTCAGACCTCCAGTGTCCCCCACCCCCAGGAGGTCAAGACATCCCACACTCCACACGACCCTCAGTCCTTTGCTGCAGTGCTATGCTTAGGTTGAGATGTCAGGCATCCAGGCTCTGCCAGGCCTACCCAGTCAGGAGTCAGGTGTCAACACAGGGGAAGGGGGGGCTCCTCTGGGGGGGAGAGGTCTGGGTCATTCCAGGGTTCCCACCTGACTCCTGGGTAAAGTGGTGCCCTCAGGGCTGCCCCCGCCACTGCCTGCCATGCCTGACTGCCTGAAACAGCCTGCTGGGGATGGCAGACCACACTGCGCAAAGATGGAGTCTGCTGTCTCAGTTCTCTGGACCCTAATCCCAGGAATGCCAAGCCCAAGCAGGGGGCCTCCCTGCTGATGTCCCCTCTTCCATCTGCAGTTCCAAAGCTCTCACTTCCCAAAACGATGGAACTGTGGGCCATGCCTTCTGGAATTTCAGCCTGCAGGGAAGATGGTCTTGCCTCAAAGGGTACGAACATGGGTGTACAGTCCCTGGCCCTGCAGCCCCTCTCCCCACAGATGCCCGTGGTGACATCCATGTGTCTGAGTCTCTGCCTCTGCTCTGCTGGCTTTCAGTGAAAACCAGAGGTCTGAAAGACAGGAGGAAGAAGTGGGTGTGCCTGACCTCGCAGGCCTGTCCCAGGAGGCCATGCACCCAGGCCTATCCCAGGAGGCCATGCGAGTGCAGCTCTCTACTCTACAGCCTGACCAGGGCTACAGAAAGCTCATTCAGGGCTCAGTCCCCTCCTAACTGAGTCCAAGCTCCCACACGGAAGGGCTGCCACTTCCAAAGAGAGGGCTCGAGACTAGAAGAATTGGCAGATGTCTCTGCCACCCATATGCATCTCCAGGGATGTCTCTAAGAGACATTCTAATCACACAGCCAAACATAACAAAACACTCAGCCAAAGTGCAGTACAGTGCTCTGACAAAATAATGATGTGTCTTTAAAATGTGACCATGGACAATGCCAATACCTGGAAATATACACGCAAAACGAAAAGGTGAGACACCAGATAGAACGTGTCTGTCCATTGTCATCTTGTCCAAAGCATGCTCAGATATCAGCCAGGGCCAGCCGTGAGGTCTATGACAGTCATTCAGTTAGAATTTGGTGGCTGCAAAGCTCTTTGGATCAGTAAGGCTGAGGGAATAATGTTTAATGGGTCTGTTAGGAACCCAGATCCTCCCCCAGGGTGTCCTTAAGTCAAAGTAAAATTGGAGTCTAAAATTTAGCTCAGCCCCGAAGGCTGGAGGTGACCAATGAGCCGGTGGGGAAGGCCGAGCAGATGAGACCACTGCTGCCAGTGTGACTGAGGTCCCTGTGCGGTGAGACACCCCACCGGGGTTCTACTCAGAACCAGGCTGAGTACCTCAACATGGGCAGAGTTACACAAAGCCTCACAGGCTCCATCTGGGAACCTCTGAAACAGCACCCAGGGCCAACACGGCAGAGAAGAGGGAGGGAGGCTGGGAAGACCAAGGAGGCTGGGGTGATCGTGGATTGCCCATCCCGAGGGAGGTGACCACTCCTCCCCAGCCTTGCCTGGGTGGCACAGTGGGAGAAGCCTAAGTGTCCCTTACTAGTCGGGGATGACTCCTAAACCATGGTGGCTGCAGAACTGCCCGCTCTTTAGAAATGATGGGTGACCTGTGTGACATTTACACACAGAACATAATTGGCCTGAAAATTACAGTGCTGAGAGAAAAAAGCCGGAAGTACAAAGAGCTACAAAACAGAGTACTTTTATGTAAATTTTAAACTCACACAGCTCTGAGAAACTGTCAGCAGCAAGAGCAGCCTAAGGAGACAAAGGACAAGTGAATGCAATGTGTTGTTCTGGTCAGGATCCAGAAATAAAGGGCAGTAGGGAAGTCTAAGGGAATCTGCACAAAGCACGGATTTCGATTCATAATGATGTACCGATATTGGTTCATTAATTGTAACAAATGTACCACACCGATTAAGTTCTTAAGAATATGGAAACTGGGGCTGGGGTAGGTAGATGGGAACACGCTGTACTAGTCCCAATTTTTCTGCAAATCTAAAACTGTGCTAAACAATAAAGCCTATTTTTAAAATAAAAAGCAAAATCGCACAGCACAAAAACAACACTATACATTTTCCAGAACCATGATGTGCTAGAATGATTGCCCGGGGAGGGAGTAGGCAGCTGAGGGGAAGGGGGACAGGGCCAGTGATAAAACATGACAGGGTCGGGCAGGAAGGGCAGTTAACCCTTTCCGGGCAAGGTAATGACAGTCATGGCGATCACTTTTTAGGAAAGAAAGAGGGGACCCTGCAAGACGGCAGGTGGAAAGGGTGCCATGGAGGGGAGGCCTTGAGGACAGCGGGGCTGGGGGAGGTGGCCTGAGGCCTCGAAGCCAGGTGGGGGCTGGAAGCAGGCGGCCATACAATGGGAACAACAGCCCAGGATGCGCCCACACCCCTGCCTGGTGCCGCTCAGTCCTGAGAGTTGAGATGGTCCTGTGTCCTCCTGGTCCCCATCCAAGGCCAGGAACATCCAAGAGCAGCCACAGAGGGGCTCTGGAGATGGCCGAGGCCCTGGGAGTAGGGCCAAGAGGGGCCAGCACAGGTCTGTCTGACTCAGATCAGTACCAGACAAGTTTTAGTGTAAGTATGAGAAATATGTCCCCAATATTTCATGCAGCATACTAAGGTCTAAAAAATTATTCACTGTTGATCTGAAAGTCAAATGTCAAGGCACCCTGCATTTTTATTTGCTGACCTAAATAATAATAAAGATGAGAGTAGTAATTCTTACCCTGTTCTAAATGCTTAGTTGTCTTGTTTAAACTTCCTAACAACCCAGTGGTCAAGGATGTATTATTCCCCTTCCACAGACAGGGAAAGCACCCAGGCGCCTGCCCAAGGCCCTGTGACTGCAGAACCCAGGCCTGGGATGCAAACGCTCTATCACCCTTCAGCATTTGCCCTCCTGTTTCCCAGATGAACCCTGAGTAAAGCCCAAAGCTCCACTGACCTGGGACAGGTATGTGGATAGTGACTCCCACAGCTCCTGGTGCAACCCTGAAAGTGCTACTGCCCCAGAAAAGCCTTCTCACCAGACTCCAAGTGCAGGCCCCTATGAACTCTGGACTCCAGGAGGTGAAAGCAGCATTCCCACAGCAAAGTGCCCCAAAGCAGCCTCAAAGGTGCACCTGCGCCCCACAGGCAGGAGTGCTAACCCGGAGTCCGGATAAGCAACACGGATTGGCACCACAAGCACTGAGCCTAAAAGTGTATCATCCCACCGAGGGCCAAAGGAAGGGGCAGGGACATTTGGGGCCCTTTCAGCTTGAGGACAACGTCAGTGTGCAGATGAGTCTTATCATAGATCTATGAAAACTACCACCCTCAACATGAGGCCTTTTAAAACCATAACGAACACTCACTGGGCACCTGCTGTGTCCCATCGCTGTGCTGTGCACTTTCGTTGCCCATCTAATGGTGGGACAACTACAGCCACAACCCAGCAAGGTAAGGACTATGAGATTCAGAGAAGCCATGCCGTTCACTCCACTAATGCTTGGGAAGCACCTAGTACGTGCCAGCCTCTGCCTGGGGCTGTGAACCCAAGAATCCTGCCTTAGTAGAGCTGGGTACACTTGGATTAAAATATGAGTAAATCTATCACAGTGCTTTAGGAAGCTGGGCAAAGAGGAATAAAGAAAAGTAAAGCAGGCTTGAGGCGCTTGAGCATGGTGGAGAAGACACTCGGGCAGATGGTCAGGGACGGTACCGAGAAGGCGGTGAGGTTTGAGCAGGACCAGGAGAGAGGACGTGAACACACACAGGTCTGGGGAAGAGGACCAGGACAGAGACCGCAGCACAAAGACGAGGTGATCGGCCCCAGTGAGAGGAGCCTGGCAGCCTGGAATAGAGTATGGAACGGTAAGGAAATGGATGTGGAGACATGGCAAGGACAGGCCATTTTCAAAGCTAAGAAATGGAAGGATCCATGTATGAAAAAGTGGAGGGACAGAGTGTGGAGAAAAGGATTTCCGTGGATTCCCCTAGGTTATCTGTTCACCACAGGTGACATTTTCTAGCTCATGGGCTGTAAAATATGTCCATTGTATGCCCCATTTACTTCCCCAAAATGTCCCACATTAGGTCCATTAAGGGGCCTCTGGCAAGTGCATTTCCTATGGGAGTCCCTGTATCCACAAGAGGAATTTAGCGCCAGGCCAGGGAAAGCAGCCTTGATCACAGGAAACCACAATAGAGATTCGGGACAATGTCTTGCCCACACTCTCTGACATACCTTCACCATCCCACTGCCCCTGGCACTGCCATCCTAGACAGTGCCAGCAATACCGAGACTCCCTCAACATCTTGGGCAAGAAAATCTGGTTTCCCTGGCAGAAAAAAGAAGTGCCACTTGCCAGAACAAGTCCACAGCTCCTTCAGGTGGCACTGGCCACCAGGAGTCCATCCCACCCGCCCAAGACCCTCGCCACTGGCCTCACCTCCAAGTCCTTCTCCAGCTCCAGGCCAGCCGCCATCAGGTTGCTCTCAAACTCCTCCCGCTGCTCCCTCCTCTCCTCCTCCAGGGCATCAAGGGGCCCCAGCTCGATGTCCCCGGGTCCCCCCGCATGGCGGTCCTTGCCCGTCTCCCCATTGGAGATGACGGCCAGCGAGTGGCCAGGGGAGCCGTGGTGTGCCCCACGTTTCCGGTAGTGGTAGGCGAGCACGTAGTCCACCTTCCTCTGGTTGTCGTAGAAGTGCATGCGACTCACACGGGCCTCCGAGGACACGGGCTCGCTGGCATCCAGATAGTTATTGATGACCTGGCCAGAGAGGTAAGGAAAGGGAGGTAAGGGGGCGAGAGGGGTCAGGGCCAGAGAGGGCGAGGACCAGGAGGCGATTTCCCCAGTCCTAGCAGTGCCAAATCCCAGTGCAAGGACAGCTGCAGCCCAAGTCCATTGCGTCCTGGCCCCGTAGCCCTCACCCATGTGTGTCCAGTCCGCATAGGCACCTTCACACGATCTGCCATCCATGCACAACCACACTGCCTGCCCCACACAGAGCCACACACCCAGCCTTGCACGTGCACACACACACACACACACACACACACACACACACACACAATCCTGCACGTGCACACACACCTCCCTGTACTGGCACTTGTGGGCACACGTGAAGGGGTCTGCACACATGAGCGCACTCCCAGACACACGCAGCCCTCTGTGTGCTGTGACCCACCCACACACGCTCACCTCCTTGCAGATCTGCATACCAGCTTCACACTGTCTGTACTCGCACTCAGACTACTCACAGGCAGGTTCTCCAGATCCATGGGGACAAAGGCCACTTTCTGGTGGACTGGTCCACGAATGGGAATTCACTCGGCAGTGTGCCCCCCACAGCCACACATCCTCCTCCCTTCCTCTGCTTCAGCCCCTAGTGAGGCCCCTACTAAAGCTGCAGCAGGGGACTAGCTCCTGCTCTCCTCCACTCCAGACTGGGGAGGTGGAAGGAAGAGGAGGAGAGAGAATGAGGCGGAGAAGGCAGGGACCTGCTCCCTCCCTTTGGGTGTTTCCCTGTTTATTACTGGTTTGATACCCAGCTGCCTCTGAAGCCACCTGAGAGGTCACCTGGGCAACCAGCTGAAGTGCCAGGCACAGAGGAGAGGCTCAGGGCCGCCACAGTGAGGCGACAGGTCTCTAGGCCATGGGAGAGCAGGCACTCTGCAGCCAACAGGTAGGGTCACCTGCCGCACGCTATCCCTTTCCAGGCCCCTGTGGCCAGGGCCAGGGCTGCTGGGAAACCGAACCTCACCTGGAGACAGGGCAGAGAAGGGGCCCTAACAAACGCAGCCTTCTCACACGCAAGCACACACGCACACACCTCAAGGTGAGGGTTCCCAGGGGAGAGGCTCCCTGGGGCCTCCATCAGGCCCAGCCCAACCCCCAGTACTCACGGAGCAGTTACATGGACTCTGTGCATCCAGAACCCAGCCAGAGTCTCTGCTGGGGCTGCCCCGAGGAGCCGGAGCCTGGGAACCCTGCACCCCGGGGAATCGCTGCCCATGCCTGGGGTCCAGGACCCCTCTGGCTACTGTCCGAGGGCTCAGCCGGTGTGGAGATCCAGGAAGCAGGGGGATATCTGTGAGAGGAAAGCACAAGGGACACAGGACAACTTCAGATGGCGGGAAGCCTGCAATACAGAGAAATGGAACAATGGCCCTAAAATATGGCTCATATTTTTCTACAGCCTTCGTTACCAAGTTCATACTGGCAGTAGGAGGGAAACACTCACTACACACACACACTCAAGCGCACACTCACATGGGCACACACACACGGGATAGGGTCTGGAGCTGCCATGAGGACCTCCTCCAAACAAGGGTGTCTAATCACTCCGTATTAGGGGTGCCAGGCCTGTGTCTTGCCTCTGAGCCACTGCTGGCCTGACCTAGCTTTCTCCTTAAGGGCTGGGAACCGCCCGGGGTGGCTGCCATCTGGGACAGGAGGGATGACAGCATTGAGAAAGCAAGATGTCTCCCATTTGTGACAAGGACCAGGGCTTCTCCACCCTGGGAACCTGCATGTCCCCTTCAGAGAGCAGGGGCAGAACCATGGAGGGCCCGCAGGAGCAGGGCATCCTCCGAACAGGGTGCCCTCTCCCAGCCTGAGGGGTCCTCCTGCACCTGCTGCCTGTGAAACCCCCACTGTTGCCCCTGGAGGCAAGACCCCCATCAGTGACGGATATGCAAATAGGAGTACCGGGACAGAGGGGACTCCAGCCCCACTGTACATGGCAGGAGCCACGGAGCCCCTAACAGGAGCTGTCAGCTCCGGCCTCATCTCAGAGGAACCAACAAAACAGCTCAGCCACAGCACCTGGACTTAACCCCCGGCCCTGCCACCTTCCAGAACAGTGGCCGCTTTGAGCTCTTTCTTCAGCCATAAAATGAGAAGAGTCCCACACTCACAGGATGGGAGTGAAATGGGAACAAAAGATTCACGCAGAGCACCTGGGACCAAGGCCAGCCTCTGGGTATGCAATAGAAGGCAGTGACTGGAGAGATTATAATTATTCTTTTTTGCATGTGTGGTACTGGTGATTTAATCCAGGGCCTTTGCAATGAGTTACTGCACATCGCTAGCCCACTTTATGTTTTATTTTGAGACAGGGTCTCATTAAGTTGCCAAGTTGCTCAGAGGTGGCTCAAATTAGCCGTCCTCCTGCCTCAGCCTCCCAGAGTGCTGGGGTTACAGGGTGCATCTGCACGCTTGCTTCTTCATATTTTCATCCTAAACTCCCTGTGAGCAGAAGTAATGCCTTGTACATCCTTCAGCTTTAGGGAATGTATGAATGGGAAAGGGCAGCTATGGGAGCTCCTGAAACAGCTCTGGATTCATTACCAACTAGTGGGGCAGCCCATATGTGCTCATCTCTCTGCTGGACAGTTCCAGGGAGCCTAGGACATTTTGCCCTGCACTGAAGAAACATCGGCTCTCTACGAAGCTAGAACTGAATGAAGAAGCAGGACGGTGACCAGCAGGGAACGCTTCCGCTGCTCATTTCCTGCATGTGGGCTCCGGTCTGCACCATGAAAGCCGGAAAGACTAAGAGGAGGTGCGAGCTGGGCTGCAAAGGGCGGGGAGTCTTCTGAAGGCCGGGAAGGACCGAGGCCCTCTCTCCCCAGGAGAGAACGTGTGACAGGTCCTCCGGGTCAGGTCGCTAGAGATGCCTTCTCCCCATCCCCACCTGGCTTCATTCCTCTTCCCTGTGCCTTTCTGTAAGGCTGCCCCCAGAATAGTCTGGGGGCAAACAGAGGACCCCACGGAGAGCCTGGAAAGCCGAAGACCACAGAGATGTGTAACCGGTGGAGACCGGTGCAGGGGGCAAAGATGGTGCCCACTCCAGGGCCGGTCTTTCCTTCTGCCCAGCTGCTTCTGGGTCCACAGCCACAGTAAGAGCAGCGCAGTCCAAGGCAGCCCAGAGTGACGGCCAGACCCCTGTGCAGGAGCCGCTGTCCCCTGTGAGGGTCCCGGGCATGAGCCGTCCTGCTGCTCCCTCTGCCACTCGCGCCACAGCTCCCTGGAGCTCTGCATGCCAAGCCCCTGCTCCCCGGGTTAAAATGCAGCACATGGCTCAGCCATCCCCACTTGGAAAGGCTCCCGGGTGACAGTGACAGCCGAGAGTGGCATGTGCCATGAGAGGGAGCCTGTGGGAGTATGAGCGATGGTGCAGCACTGTGACTCTGCCCATCCACCCACTTCTGACCCTGGGGCCGCCATTGCTACCTGTTGCCGATGACCCTCAGATTTGGCCTCCAGCCTTACCCTGCCTCACACACACTACCTGGCCTGCTTGCCCCCTGCTCTGGGATGTCTCACTGCCCTTCAAAGTCGACCTGCCAAAAACAAACTGACAATCTTCTCCCACCAGGGCTCTTCTCAGTGCCCCCGCCCATCATGCCCACGTGACACAGTTCCCAAGCCAGAGATCTAGCACAGCCTTTCAGGCCTTGGCCCTCGAACCCCACAGCTAATCCATCATCAATCCTATGAGGTGTGCCCCTAAAACATCTGCCAACGCCCTTTGTTTTTCATCACCCTGACTCCCACCCTAAGCCCAGGCAACTCCCCCACTGGCCTGCATGAGGGTGAAACACTCTCGCAGGACTTCCTGGGGCTCCTTATTCTCCAGAGCCGTGGGACCCGGTCTGCATCTCCACCTCGATGCTCACTGTCCCGCTGGCTCTTGGGCCCAGGCACACTGCTCTGCCTCCATCTGTCCGTGCACCATGTTCCCCCTGGCTTGGCCCTTGCATGTGTCCATCCCCTGCCCAGAGCACACACACCCGCAACATTCTTGTGAGCCGCCACTGTCTTGGGCATTAGGGACCCAGAAAGTCAAAAGTAGCATATTCTTGTTTCAAAAGCTGCTGCCCAAGGAGCAAGACGAGGACATTCAGATTCTACTACAGGCAGAGCAGCGAGAGCTCCCTACTGGGCAGGGCAGGATCCAGAGGCACAAGGGCCATGAAGACACAGGTGAGGTTCTTGGGGGGACCTGGTGCCCTAAGCCTCCGCCCAGCTCACCACGTAAGCCCCCCAACCGACCACCCCGTTTGTGATTGGCCCCTCTTTCCACTGTGCTGAGCCCCCTAGAGCGTGAGGATGGGAGGAAAGGAGAGACTCTGTGTCCTAAAGAAGCCATCAGACGAAATGACCAGAGACCTGCGGAACATAGACAGGCACAGCTGCCCTGGAGCAGAAGTATCTGCCCACACCCATATTTGCCCCAATCCATTCCCTCGTCCACCCTCATGGGAATCTCTGAAGATTATATAGCTTCGCATTCCCCACTCAAACAGCTCCCCGAGTATAACATCTTTCCTGCACACGCAGTCTTCCCTCTGCGTTCACGTACCCACAGGCTCCACATCCTCAGAAGTGTCTTTAGTTGTGCTGACGTTGTGATTGTGCTGACGTTGTGACTGCCTCCGTATCTGAATTAACTGAAAACTTTACCTTTCACAGTCATTTTGAATTTAGGGAAAATCCAGAAATTGCATGGTGCCAGATCCAATGAATAAGGTGGACGGGAACGCAGCATCATGTTTCCTATACCTGCTTTTCTGTGGATGGCCCTCAGCACCATTTACCACACTTCCTATCACACCAAAAGAGAACTTCCAGAACTGCTTCACAAGAGAGCCTGGCTCAGGGCAAGGGCACTGATTTTCTTACTCATCTGAGACCAACCACAGTACAGCTGCCGGTCCCTGAGATTGCTCCACAGAGGCAGGTGAAGGAGAGAGCCTGGGGATTTTGAGGGGAAAGAACACTGCCTTTGGAAGGGAAAGACCCAAATCCAAATGGAAAAGCAGATTGAGCCAGCGCAGAGTCCTCCCATGACGGCTCCTTCCTAGGCTCCTTCCTGAGAGCACCAAGCACCTCCTCGGCATCCTTCCACCTCCCCAACCCCATCAGGGTCTCCCCACACCCGCATCATCATTTAACTGCTGCTGTCTTGTCTGATGCGCTAATTTCCACCATGGTAAAAATATTCCACATGGATGTCATCAGATGATACAAGGGAGAACTACCCTGAAGTGTCGGCAGGCTGGGACACTGCGCAAGGTGACAGATGAAAGAAGAGAGGCTGGAAAGCAGCTCCTTTGGGGCCTTCAAATCATGCTGCACCCCTCAAATGGCTAGAAGGGGTCCCCAAGATCACATCAGATGAGAGGTGGAAGGGTCTCTGATGGGAAGATGGGCAGGAGCAGGAGGTGGAGGACTGGAGGGAGTAAGAAAACCTCAAACCTGGGTCTGATTTATTTCTCTTAGCATTGTGCATTCAAGGGCATCCATATAAATAAGGAAATAATAAGAGAAAACAAGAAAGGCTCCAACCACACTTGTGGCAGAAAAGCTGAAACAAGAGACCACAGACTCAGTGAGAAGCAAGCCAGGGCAGGGCAGGAAAGGGAGTGGTTCATCAGGTTCAACCAGGAGGTACAAAGCAGGTGAGTCAGCGAAGACCTGGGAGCTCCCCAGAGCCCCCGAGAGAGCCGGAGCAGGAGGCGGCCGAGGGAGCTGGGCCTCCAGGCTGCAGGGCTTTTCCTCCATATTTCCCTCTTGGGAAATCATTACTATGTCATTACTATGTCTTGGGCATCATTACTATGTCATTACTAACTGTGCACAGGTGAAGTGCAAAGGGCTCTGGGAAAAATTGCAGCCTCCATCGCCAGCACTGAAGGCCACTGCTTCCGACAAGGTCAGACAGCTCTGGAGGAGACAGAGCGCCCACACCTCCTAGGTCAAGCACAAGACTTGGGGCAGTGATGTCCTGTTACCTGGAGCTCAGAGTGACCTGGACACTTACAGACATGGACAGAGGGTCCCCAGCTTCCCACAGTTCCACTTACCAACCGTTCACCTCAACAGTGGTGCAAGTGTACCCATGCGGCCATTTTATTTCCATTCTCCATACATGATTTGAAGTCTACATGACATATTCAGTATTTATCACGAATAGGCTTTGTGTTGGATGATTTTGCCTGACTGCAGGCAAATGCAGGTGTTCTGAATGTGTTTAAGGAAGAGAAGGCTCACTCTGCTGTCTGGTAGATGAGATGTAT